CCATCGAAGCCAAGAGCCACCGCTATCGAAGCGGATGGGCGCGTGCAGACTCGTCATGGGATTGGAGCGGCCGGTGTGGCCGGCATTGTATTCTCTTTTGTTTTTGCCGTTCTTTTGGCAATCGGAGCGTATTACGTGGTGGTCACGCGCCGAGCCAATACAAGCCGAGCCATTACGGTTACGCCTGATTTGGCCTAGGCCTTCATATTCTATTTTTCTTTATTTTTGGGATTTTTTTGTTTCTTATAAGACTTTTTATCTTTGCTACAAGAACATCAAAGTCTCTTTAAGCGGTCATGTGTAAAATCAGGCGGTTAGGGTACGTCATTTCTTGGTATAAAGTTTGGTAAAAATTTTTATCAAACTTTGAGCACTATCAATGACACAATCCTAATCACCCAATTTCACATCCGATAGCTTGAGATTGACCTTCTTGTACCCAAAGCAAACCATGTCATCCTATGCACATTTCTCTTTTTCCTCTTTTCGGATCAATTTGAGGTTATTTAGTTATATTTTTCCTTTTTATGTTTGGTGTCTCTATGGGGTGAGAGATTAGTTTTTTTTTCTTTTTTTAATGTGATGTTTACGGATTATTATAGGTAGTGGGAGAAGAATTATCTCAGTTTTCTGCTTTTTCGCTTGTAATATAATTGAACTATGCTTAATTTTTGTAAATTACATTATTGGTCTCTTTCTCATACCTTTTTAATGGATTGACATAGCCTTTGCTCCCTTCATGGGTTTTAAATGAGCTTTGTTGGTGTAAAATGTCAAAATTAAATGAATATTCACAACAGTAAATGTGGACCCATTGACAAAAAGTGTGACCCTATCTTGGTCCATACTGGACTACGCTGGACAAAAAGTGTTACCTAATCTTGGTCCATACTGGACTACGCTGGACCCATACATTATGCAAAGGAATTGACCGTTATAAGGCCCTTGCAGGGGATAAAGAAAATTATTATTAAAATAATTAAGTGATCACATCAACTAATTTACCAATGTGAGTGTTGTAAAATTCGGAGAAGTGGGGTGGATCATTCACCTCACAAATTTGTGTTGGATCAACGATTTGGATTGATCTGAATCAGTCCAAATTAGTGATATATAAAATATTGAAAAATAAATAAAATTAAATTGAAATTAAAATAGGAATTTATAGGGTGGGGATTATGGGGATTTAAAAAAAGGAAAAATTTTATATAGAGCCGAGGCTCTAAACAATCAAATTATAGCCCACCTCAAAATTTTCACTACAAGAGGTTGTTTTGATACTCAAATACCCTGAAATTAATCATCTTGACATCAAGATGCATGGACATGAGAAAAAATAAATAGATTTCAAGTTTTGAAAATAGTGCATCTTGTAATGCATCTTGTAATGCATTATTGGACCGTCAATTTTCAAGATTTTCAAGTTTTCATATATCCACTCAATCTATATTATTTTTTAAGCTTTAAATTTTGTAATTAAAAATAAAAACATATTTTAAGCCTATCACAAAGATTTTCGGTATTGAACCACATTTTTTGGACGTTATTTTGATTGTTTAGAGCCTTGGCTCTATACAAAGGGTGTGAATTGTATAGAGCCGAGGCTCTAAACAATCAAAATAAAACCTACCTTAAAAGAAATATTTGTAAGATTTTTATAAAAAATGAAAACAATATAAAGTGACGATCAATATAGTCACTTTGCAAATATTGCTTTTAGTGGAGTACCTCCTCCAACTATTTAGTAGAAGACTCCAAATGCACTTACTTTAGAATTGAAATCCCAAACAAAGTAGATCATTTGTACTCACTTAATTGCACCGTGCACCTTACTTTGACTTTCTAAGGTGGACACGTTATACAAAGTACATCCTTTTCTTGGAAGGATATAATTTGCCCTTTTAGAAGCCATTTCTCCTTTTAAACTCCATAAAATTACATTTTCCTCTTGTATACTCGAAACATCATGGGCCCGTAAAACACTTGGGGGTAAAAAATGTTTTCACCGGCATAAGTCATCATATCTTAGCATGGTTAGGGCTGGGCTGCTAGCCCTAGCCTGACCCAAGTCTCCATAGAGCTGCCTAGCGCTAATTGGGCTAAAAGAGGTCCGGGCCAAAGCCCTATCATGGGCGAGCCAGTTATGGCCCAGGTCTGACCTACCCATAACCTTGGGCCATTGTTGCTTGGTTGAGGCCCGACACTTAAGCTACATTTTGTGGCCATGCCCTAGTTTTTCAGGGCCGGCCTGATCCGGCCAGGCCGGGCCACCCAACCCAATGCCACCTGTTGCATGGTTAGCCAACTACCCGGCAACAATAAATCAAAGGGCAATAAAAATGAGTATTAATTTGGGTTTATTCCAAAATATAGAGTACAAATGAAAGCTCAAAAATTAGGGAATGGCAAAAGGATTTTGAGAAAAAAGATCACGATTATTTCTGTTTTGCCTTAAAAAAAAGGATTTAAAACAATGGGACATATATATATATATATTTTGGTGAATTTGAGGTTTAGTCAAAACAATAAACCATAAGTAAACTATTAAAGATTTCATCGAACCCCCTCATCTCTTATCTCTCTCTTTTATTGACTTTTAACCGTAAAAATTAGTCCCAACAAATCTTTTTATACTATTTCAACCCAAACAAATTTTTAAACATCTTTTTCTCTTTCCACCCATTAAAAAAAAAATTGGGTTGAAATGATATAAAAATATTTTTGAGGCTAATTTTTATGATTAAAAAATCAATAAAAGAGAGAGATAAGAGATGATGGGGTATGGTGAAAACTTTAGAGGTTTCTTCATGCCACTTGAAAGAAAAACAAAACGAGGGTCTACCATGAAATAATATGAGGAGTTATAGTTCTATACAAAATTTTCTCTTAATTTTTTATAATTAAATAAGGGAAAAGTTTATAAAAGGTTGACACCTTAAAATGTAAAATTAAGGTGCGCCTCTAAAATCATTTGAAAAAGGTTGTTTTGATGTTGGAAAAACATCTAATTGATCATCTCAACATCAAGTTATATCGATATAGAGAAAAAAAGAGATTTCAAGTATTACAATAATACCTCTTGCAACACTTTACCAGATTGTCATGCATTTATAGATATGTTTGATTATTTTTTTGTTTAAAATTTTATAATTAGAAATAACAATAGATTCGTGCACCATCCTAAAAATTTTCACACCAAAATTGCATCTCATGACAAAGTTTGGAAGTGCACTTTAATTTGATTGTTTGAGGTTGCAACCTTCTGTAAACCACACCTATAAATAAGAAATTAGTTTATAGAAGGTTGAGGCGTTAAACATTAAAAACAAGGCGCACCTCAAATATCCACTGGAAGAATTTTTTGAAATAATGTATCTTGTAATGCATTATCTAAGCCATTTATTCTTAAGATTTTTAAGTATTCATAGATCTACCTGACGTACACTATATTTTAATCCTTAAATTTTATAATTAGAGATGAAAATAAATCTTTAGACCATCATAAGGATTTTCGGCATTGAAAACGACATTTTTTTGGCACTATTTAACAGTGCCTTACTTTGATTGTTAGGGCCTTAGCATTATTCAAGCCACACCCGTTAAATAATCAAATGCTATATAGCATTATCAATACCATATCCCCATTAACAATTAAAATCCAGTAAAAAAACTAAACCGATTAAGGTTAAAATAGTGTACCAAATACCATGCAGGGAGGAGAGAGAGAGAGAGAGAGAAAGAGAGAGAGAGAGAGAGAGATTTTATTCAAGAGCCAAGAGAGATAGATGCTAGTGACCTAGAATTATTTGAAGGTAATTTTATTCTATGAAACTTTCAAATAGTTTTAGTTAAGGAAAAAGTTTATATAAAGTTGCAACTTTAAAATATAGAATTAAAGTACATCTAAAAAATCCATCATAAAAAGTTATTTTGATATTGGAAAACCTTTTAATTGATCATCTCGACATCGAGATGTATGAATATAAACAAAAAAAAAGAAATCGAGACCTAAAAATAGTATATCTTGCAATACATTATCTGGACCGTCCATTTTAGGAATCTACTTGATTTGAAGAAATTTTTAGAGTTTAAGATTTTATAATTAGAGATGGAAATAGGTTCTCAAGTTATCCCTATAACTTTTTATATCAAAATTATATTTATGATAAAATTTAGAGGTGTGTCTTAATTTGGTTATTTAATATTACAACCTCATACAAACCACACCCTTTGGTTAATGATGTAGTGCAGCAATATCTTTTTTTCTTGAAAACATTGTAGGTCTTTTTAGAACTTATCTTGGAAATCACGGCTTTCATAATATTATTTAAAAACTAGATACTAATTTTACTTTATTTTTTTAAAGAAAAACAAGTTATAAAGGGAATTTCACAAACTATAATTATCTGCCAGGGCAGAGGTTTGTGCCTCAATGCGAGAATAGAACTTTAGTCACCTTCAAGACCAATTAAAAAAAGGGAAAAAATTTTAAAAATTTATCAAAATACTCGTTCTATAATTATTAGACAATATAACCATTTCTAATTATTCTAACACGCGAAACGTGTGATTTTTTATGGGAATTTTGAAATTAAATCAAACTATGGTCATAATGCTAAATAATTTATCTTCATGGTATTTAAATAAATTTTAAAAAATATAAAATACAAATAAAACTTAGATATCTAGAGCTGAAAAAATGCTCTAAAACAATTTAAAAAATAAAAAATATAAATAAAACCTAAATCTAGAGTTTAAAAAATGCTTCAAAATAATTTCCCCTAAGTAGCTAATCTTGGCTGGATCGATATTATAAAGTTTTAAGAGCTGAAAAAGGGATCGGATAGGTGAGAGAGGAATACAGATGCGGGGAAGAACATCGAGGTTTCCCTCGACGGAGAGTTAGGGAATGTGTTTTTTTTTCTTGTGGTTTGGGTGGGGTTTGGGGTTGGGGTTGGGTTCGGTTCGGGTTCGGGTTCGGGTTCGGGTTCAGTTTGTTTGGGAGGTTTTACCGTACTTCCGAGGGAGTAAAATATTTTTTGGGTCCACTTTCGTCCCAATACAGTAACTTCACACCTTCGCTCTTTCTTAGAAGCCCTAATTTGTTTCCGAAGCCCTAATTTTACTGCATTTGATCAATTTTCATTTAAATCTCCCCATCAATGGAGATAAATCCAAAATTTGGTATTTTCAACCAATTTTTTCCTCTTGAATTACCCCATTTTCGGTACTTTCAGTTGATTTTTTTATAACGAGTTGCACAAGTTTCATTTGACTATTTGTATCAATGGCAGGAAATTCTAGATTCATTGTTTTGTACAAGTTTTGGCTCTAGAAAAACCTTTGCTTCTGTGTTCCCAGTCAATTTTTTAACAACCAGAAAAGCAAATTTCATTGCTCTGTAAAACAGGCTTGGAAAATTGTTATTCTCTTTAGCCATGCATCTATGGCCGTCTCTGAGGTTGAGAGACGCATTCAAGTTCGACTACTTGACGAAGATAGAATGGAAAATGAAGCGGATGAAGGAAGAGAAAGCTGATGAATCTCAGAGACAAAGGTTACTGGAGGATAAGCAAGGGGATGGTACTGATGCTAAAGATGTGGTTGATGAGGGAGAAGCCATGGGCTCTGATGATCATGGGATCCATGGGTTTTGTAAGGATTTTTTTCTGATTCTCTCTTGCTGCTATTGCTGCTTCTGTTGTGGAGGTAACCAAAATCTCTCTCTCTCTCT